CAGGAAGAGCAACCAATCATGGACCAGAGTGAGCAAGGCAATGACAGAGAAAATGGGTAGAGAGGTAGGCAGCAGCTAGAACTTCTGTGACCCTATGTTAGAAATATAAAGCCTTTGGATTTTAGGTGGAAACCAGTGGGGGCTGAGAGCATGGAAGGGATATAAACTGACTTGTATTTTTTTAAATGTGGTAGAGTAATTAACTGAAGTATTTATAAATATCATGATTTATAGGACTTGCTTCAAAATAATGGGGTGAGAGGGTTAGAGTAAGGGATAGAGATGAAACAAGATTGACCATCATGATAATTGTTGAACCTCAATCCTGAATATACAGACTTTATTAAACTGTCCTCTCTACTTATGTTAATGTTTTAAATGTTCCATAATAAACATATGGGACGTGGGGAGACCACTCTGGCTGCTGTGATAGAATCAACTATATGGGGATGTGAGTAGGGTAAGAAGAGGGTGATCAGTTAATTTAATAATGGCTAACATTTATTTGTTCTTATCTGTGCCAGGCGATTTTTGTATATTAACTCACAATCCCCATAACTCAAGGAGGTAAATCCCATTGCAGAGGAGAACACTGAATTCAGCGAGTTTGAATAATTTTCCTGAGATTATACAGATAGTAGGAAACATAGTCAGGACTTTAACCCAGGCATTTCAGGTTCTTATCCACACTTCTAAACTCTACAGAACAGTTTTTGCTATTCTGCATGACATAGGTGAATGCTTGACTCCTTTCCTGTCTCAGAGATAGGAGAGATGATCTTGTTTATTGATCTCCCCAAGTAGAATGTAATCTCTATGTGGGCAGGAGTTTTGTCTTTTATTCACTGCAGTAGCCCCAGCTCTTATAATAATGTATGGGGAAAGGCAGATATTTTTTGGATGAAACAGTGAAAATGGCTTAGAGAGTATAAGTCCTTAAAAGAGTTCATGTGCTTGGTGTCTACTGCCATTGGAGGCCTGAAATTTTTAATAAATGAGAGCTAGTAAATTTTGCTTTTGATTTTACTTTAATTTAGCTCTTAGTCTTTATGCATAAGACGTTCCTGCTTTGTGTTTCTGGAGTAAAAGGAGCTGTTGTTTTTTTAATTTTTTTCCCTCCAAAATTAGACATTCTTTTACTTTTTCTACTTGTATAAATGATAGTTCATTATTTTTTTAAAACTCCAATAGTGCCAAGTAACGTAAAGTAAAATCGTGATGCCCCAATATAATCATTTTAAAAAATTTTGGTATTTACTAGTCAAGATTTTACCATACATATACTCACAGAGATACTTATTATGTGTATGTGTGTATTTTATTTGTTTTAAAAATTGTTTTATACTTTTTATTGCATGTTTTTATCACTTAACACATCATAGGCATTTTCTTTGATGTTGAAAAATCTAGCCATTTATAATGTCAGTAAATCTTTAAACAATTGAATCCTTTTGTCCTAAATGATAGGATATAACTTTAGGATTCTTCCCTTTACCCTATTACTTCATGCCTCTGTAGTCAGATCTCATTGCTAAGACCATCAGAGGCTGTGCCAGTACTATGCCCTGAATGCTTATGAAAATAAATGAATAATAATATTGTGAGTTCCTTAGAGTTAAGGATATTTGAAACAAAAAAGTCATTTAAACATGATTTGTATGTGTTTGAATAATTTACTTGCTTTTTTCCCCCTTCTTTCCTGGCTTACCCGCATCCTGATTGTCCATGAATAATCTACCCAATAGGAAAGCCATCAGTGCAAATTCCTTGATATAGGAAGCATTTAGCTAGCTGATCAGGGCTATAGTATTTTGCTGTGATAAGTTTACTTGAATTTGAATGATGTAATCTATTTCAGCATTTGTTCAAAAAAGTTTTGAAGTTGATATATTATATTTAAATTTGTGAGGGAAATATTCATTATTAAATATAAATCTTGGTGTTATGTTAGTGGCTTGGTTATTTCAGAAGGGAGAAAAAAAATAAGAACCCAGAGATGCTTACCCCTATAGAAATGTCTACTGAAATTACTCAAAGTCCTCCCTTTTATAGTCTTAAATGCCCTTTTTTCCACTTAGAAAGTACTAAGGACTTGTACACAGGTAAAATGTACAGTAAAATGTTAATTTGAAATTGTTTTCTTTGAAATTGCTCTTGGGAATTTACTTCTTATCACCTTTGTTGTTTTAATTTAAAATATATTTGTCCTTGTTCTTAGTACTATAACTTATTTGCAACACTCCTTTCAGACTTGTTAAAATCAAAATATTTTCCAGGTTCTTTTCTGTTAAAACTGCACTGTAACAAAATACTTACATTTTTTTTTCTTTTCCTAACAAGAAATTTAAATTTTTTTTCTTGGCTTGAAATGTATACAAATACTGGACATGATTTTGATAATTAGTTCTACTGTAGTATAATGTCCTAATATGAATATCAAATCATAGGTGTATTTATATATTAATATCACATGCAAATGACTTTCTTTATACGTGTTAAAGTTTTCATATTTTTATCATATCGGATTTTGCAAAATACACAAATAGCAGATAGTTATACCTGCATCTTAGTTTATTTTCTATATTATTAAAATGTGAAATTGTTTAACAGATGATTTATAAAATAAATATATTATTCAATGAGTAATAGAACTAAAATTCCAATATGATAAGCCTCAAGTAACTGTTCTATTTCTTTTGTTATGCCGGAATTATATGAACCCTCCTTAAAATGATAAGCCATCACCTGGGATGAGGTTTTAATAGTACTGTTTTAATGATCCTGCTAACTCTGAAAGACTAACCTTTTCTAGGTTTGTTTTTATAATGTATCAGAATCTCATTGTGATGACTTGATGCATTTCTGCCAAAATACTCTAATGGTTCAAGCAATTATTAACTTACCCTGTTAAAGTATTAGAGAATTCTAGAGTTCTTGTCCACTTGGTGGAATTTTAGTTGGCAGTATAAATAAATAGAAGGGATTTCTTCATAAACTTTTCATGTAAGGTGTTTTTTTTTAAAGCAATAATAAGCAGTTTATTTTATTTTTCTTATATATCAATTCTTTGAATTGTTTTCACACTTTTTCAATTGTCATAAAATATCTCAGAAGAAAGCAAAAGAGTGTTCCCATGCAACAGAAAAATAAGGTGCCATGGTCAGAAAATAAATTTACCACATTGCAAACACAATGATGAAGTGTGGTATTTTTTTCTCTGAAATTTCCACACTCAACAGGAAACAAGCTTGAGTGGGTGGGTCTCTGAGGTTAAAACTGTTAATAAAATAACGTACCTGAAATTTAGTTTAAAATGCAAAGTATTCCTAACCATGTTTAGTTTATTAACAACAGTAAAGTGCTCTGACGCTTTATAATAGGTGAGTAAAACTGGATATTTTCCTCCTTCAAATGGCTTTTTTCCTCTCTTAGAAAATGAAAGTAGTTGCTCTCCTGAGTATGATTAGTGAACTCTCTTACAGTTTACCTTCAGTAGTCTCCTATATGAGAAAGAATAGTTTAACATTAAGAGTTAGCATTAATAGAAGAGCTATAAATGCTAAGGTTTCTCTTAATAATCTTTACTTCATTTTAAAAATCTAATGCATGCAATAATATATTTTCATTTTGCTGTGACTGATAGGCGTATTTGCACTGCAGTATGAGGGGTTTGGACCAAATGGTGTCTTGAGTTGTCTTCAAGTCAGAAAATCCTATAATTTAAATGCAGGATAATGGGAAATGTTCATGCTTAAATAACTTTATATTCACTTAGGAAAACTGAAATCTGAGTCAACATCTTTTTTTTTAATCTATAGCATCTCTTAGAAAATGTTAAATGTTCTTAAATTAAGGAGATGTCATTAGGCCAAACCAAAAAGGTTTTGGCTATGAATACATGAAATGATAGGCACTTATGTGGTTTGGAATCATAAAGTTACTCAAGGTTTAGTAAAATTAATAGACTAAAACATTGCTCTGAAAACTTAGATACTAGTATATCATAAAATTCAGGAGATAAGGAAGGACCTTAGGATCATACATTGTACTAGTAAATTTAGATATTTAGATGTAGAAACCTAAGTTAATGGGAGATCAAAACTAGGATTTAGGGTCCCTCCCCATCATTATTTTAATGCTTCCTAGTATGCACATAAATTTTATTGAATACTCTTTCTTGGTCAGTGTTACCATGCTTTTTATTAGTCCAGTCTATTTTTATGTACTTCAGTGAATTTATTACTGAAATGTAAAACTATCAGTTTATAAGATTTATTATGTTTCTTTATATAAGTAGCTTAATTCATAATATTAGACTCCATATTAACTACATCTCAAAAAGCGAAAATTTAAATACATGTCATGTATTTTCCATGAATTTTAGCCACTATCTGAATTTGCATGTAAAAAAAGACTTTAGTTTGTAACTTACCTAAAATTATAAGGGTTTTTAATCTCTGCAAAGATCGTTATCTTTTCTAAAAAGATCACTTAGTTTTCATCTTTATCATTATGATAGCTGACAATATATAGATAGGTAATAAAACATATTCTTTTACTCCCCACCTTGAGACAGGCTAGCTAACCTTCCAAATGGTTTTATAAAAAGAAGAGGAGAGGGGAGGGGAGAGGAAAAGATTGAAAGAAAGAAAAAGAAAGGAAGGAAAGGAAGGAAGGAAGGAAGGAAGAGAGGAAGAAAGGAAGAAAAGAAAGAAAAAGAGGGAGAGGGAGGGAGGGAGGAGAAAGAAAGAAAAAGAAAGAAAGAGAGAAAGAGGGAAAGAAAGAAAGAAAATTCACTGGCCTAATACATATAAAAAGGAAAAATTATAAATAAAATGTAGCATACATAATTATCATTTTTGCCCTGTCCTAAATGATTTAGTTTTAAGGACATTCAGGAGATAATATACTAAGAATTGATTAATATATTCCAGAGTAAGCTAGATTTGGTTCATAGTTTCAGCTACAAATTAAAATTTTTTTTACATACTAAATTATTTCTACAGATCCCCAAGTAAGCCCTTGGTGCGGAAATTAATGGATTGGGAAGTAGTAAGCAGAAATTCAATATCTGATGACAGGTTAGAAACACAAAGCCTTCCATCACGATCTCCACCTGGAACTCCTAATCAGTAAGTACAGACTAATATCAGATGTACATTTTGCTCACTTCTAAATTATTGGCTGTATATTACCACTGCCTAGAGATCAAAATATGTAAATCTTTATATTTAAATCTTTTGATCACACATGATTTTTGTTGCTCCAGAGCATTATTTCCTCTTAGCCTGCAACTCATTGCGCAAGTGGTATGGAATAGCCTTGGCAAGTAAGATAGTAGAGCAAGGATACTCAACAAGGATGCTCACTTCCTTATGCAGTTGACTTTCAAAGTAAGGGTCCCTAGCTAATAAATCAAGGTCTATTAGTAGACTTAAAAATCTGGAAATATTATTGTTATTATAATCCCTGTCCTTGTGATCTCCAATAGAATTTCTAGGGGAGCATATATTATTTGAACAACCACTGCTCTGCCACTTTCTATGGTCCACAAAAAGGGATTTCCAACATCAGTTCCCTTGAGCTTAGCCATAGTTAGGCTAAGAAGTACTGTGTTATTCAGCATTTACTGTGATGGACTTCATGCTAGCATTTCTCACCAAAACTGTATGCTTTGGTGTAGATAATAAGTTAATAAACTTGTATTAGCCAAAGATGTTATCTTAATTTTATAATGTTAACAAATGTGTTGTAGTATATGTATGTTATTAAGATAATAATAAACAAATGTATGTCAACATGTTGACAGACCTTGTTAACCCATAAGGCTGATACACAAAATATTTGAATTTTGGTATGGAATATAATATATGAAGTCTTCCTTTAGAAATATTTGATACACGTTAATGTTCAATAAATGCACTAAATTCTAAAAGTTATGTCACTGATGGATGTTTGTCAGCCAAAGAATAAATTTCTACCATATTGGAAGTAAAGTGTGTGCATGAACAGTTTGGTTCATAGACTGTTACCCCATACCTAGATGTTTTCCTTGCTACTAGTAAAAATAGACTCAAAGTTTCTGACTTGCTAATTGCAGATTGCTAAATCATCTTTCTTTAAAAAAAAAATTGCCTGTATTCAAAGGTTAATTAGCTTGTTTAAAGAAAATCTAGAAACTTCTTTTGCTGGTCTCTTTTCAGCCAGCTATTTCTCCATTTGTTGCCAGGAACAAGAAATTTAAACCAGATGATTGAATTAATTAATTAACAGTAGCTCTGATTAAATTTCTGGTTAATGAAACAGTTTTAGGTATGATCTGAAAAACTTTTTCTAAATTCTAAAGAGACAGTACAGTGTAGTGGTTAAGAACATGGGCCCTAGAGTCATTGTATGTTGGAACTTTGAGCAAGTTAATTAATCTTTGTCCCATTTTCCTCATCTACAAAATGATATTTATAATAATAGTATCCTTCTTGTAGTATTGTTATGTGGGTTAAATGAAGTCATACATATAAAATACTTAGAACAATGCCTGGCTCTTATTAAGTGCCCAAATGTTAGCTATTGTAATTAATGATAGTAATGATAATAATTCATGTTACTGTGTCACATATGAGGATGAAAATATGTTATGCAGCATTGTTAGGAATTGAAGAAAGTCCCATAAATAAAAACACTTATAGGTATTAAAAAGTAATTCAGACCAAAGGTATTTCTGAATCATTTATTCTATCCATTTATTTTATAAATGCTGATTAAGACACAAAGTTGTAGTGACTAAAACCTATAAACATTAAGGTTGGCAGAGATAATAGATGACTGAATAGGTAAGATCCTTGTGGCAGATGGCTGACAATCGCTCAGATCTTTGACTTCCTATTCTGTGTTCTTTCTTTCTGTTTACATCGCACTATTTTTGTCAGTGACTCTGCTTAGTCAATGTGGTTAGTCTTAAAAACACACATCTACTTTCTAATATCATACAATTAAGAAACTTGAAAAAATTGAATTACAACACATTTTTGCTCAGTTTTCTTCCTCTTTATGCAGTCGAAATTCTGCATTCACACAAGAGGGAACCCGGCTACGACCGTCTTCAGTTGGTCATCTGGTAGACCATGTGGTTCACACTTCCCCGAGTGAAGTATTTGTGAATCACAGATCTCCATCTTCAACACAAGCTAATAGCATCGTTCTGGAATCATCATCGTAAGAACTTTTTCCATTTGGTTTCCTTCTTATAAGTAATGATGCCCCAAATTGTTTCATTTGAAATAATCTGGAAAATTGGGGTATTTGATACAAGATTTTATTTTTGCAATGTTTTAAAAATTTATATATTTGTAAATGTGCTTATTTGTCCCTGGGATTTCTTGGTGCTCCCCCGACAAACCAAAAGAAATCACTGTTATTTTGTTGACTCAGAATGTTCTTGAACTGTTAGTGCGTACACTTAAATATTTCTGCAGATAATGTAGCACAGTAGTCAGGCAATAAAGTAGTGAAGGGTAGAGTTTTTAAAATATTTTTCAGGAAGGGACCTGTAAGGATGAATAGACAGTGTTGGAAAAATTTACTGGCAAAGGAGAGCTAAGTAAGATGACCATCACACTGAAAATAAGTTATAGAAAACATGCATACATTATTTCTAAATTCATATATGCTGATACATAAATTCAACTTCATAATTCAGTATTTACCGTATTTGCCGGCGTATAAGACGACTGGGCGTATAAGACGACCCCCTAACATTTCCACTCAAAATACAGAGTTTGTTATATACTCGCCGTATAAGACTACCCCCTCTTCCGCACACCTTCCACACACCAAATAAAAGGTAAAACAATATCAGATTTGATTTGGCCCACTGAAGTGCAAACAAGCATATTGTATTTCGTGTCACCACATAACCGTTTTGGCGATGTTGAGCCACCATGTCTGCTACATGTTTTTCGAGTTCTGGCCAGTGTGGGGTGCCTCTTCTTAATGCACACTTACCCCTTGGCATACTCTTTAATGCTTTCTCATTTGATTTCCAGTCCCGAACCATCTTTTCTGTTACTCCATATTGTCTTGCAGCAGCACAATTATTATTTTCCTTAGCAAAGTTTATAACTTTCAGTTTAAAATTTGCATCATACTTCTTTCTTTTGGCTGGTGCCATGATAGGGATGATAGGGGTTTGACTGGTCGACATTTTCTATGCTGTACTGTACAATGGTGCAGTATTGTGGTTGGCTGTTGGCTGTATACAAAGCCTGATTTGATTGGTCCCTGCTCCCTGTTTGCCCGCCCTGTCACTATAGCAGTCTGGTCCACCCTTGCATCAGCATCTCCCTGGGACCTCACTAGTGCGCAAGTGCGAGCTCTTCAACATTCTAACAGGCACCATGATAGCGCAAAATCGCGAATCTTCAATGCATATGTAAAGAAATATACGGTAACCCGAATTTACCACACTCGCAAAATCGCACACAGCCGAGCATACACCCAGCAGCGCTGCTGATGCCTGAACGGTATGTGGAATGAAGTGGGCGGGCATCGGGAGGCCACTATGGCGCGGGGCAAGCACTATGGGCAGTCTATCTGAAGTGTACCTGGCGTATAAGACGACCCCCCACTTGGAGGCATATTTTTCAGGGCCAAAAAATCGTCTTATACGCCGGCAAATATGGTATATTGCATCAGTATAATGCACAACATACTTAACCCTCTTGATTTATTGGTTTATATAATGCAGTTCATATGGAAGTAAAAGTATAATGCAAGAATTAGAAAAAAGTAAAATACTTTATAAGATACATAGATAAGTAAGATTCATTGTTGAGAAAGAGAAAAGGGTGTAAGATATAGTGAATGTGATCAGGGTTAAAGAACGGATGGGTCTGAGAGTGTAGATGGAAGAGTAGATGGAGTGATCAGCAAAGCATTTAGTTATAGGTGCTCCAGAAACATGTGGTTGGATCTGTAGGAGCCATACTGAAAACAGTTTTTTTGATCCGCAATTGGGAATGGGCAAATGGGGTGCACCAACTACATGCATTGCTCTTATGCCATTTATATAAGGGACTTGAGCATCTCTGGATTTGGGTATCCATGGGGGTACTAGAACCAGTCCCTGGCAGATACTGAGGGACAACTGAACTTTTGGGACAGTCAAAAGTCTTACGTGTATTTTCGAGTATGCAGGAGTCAGTGCCCTAATGCCCTGCGTTGTTCAAGGATAAGCTGTTTATTCCCGTCTTCCTCTTTCTCTTTTGTTAACATCCAGAAGTTAACACAGGAAGTAATTTACCCACAACATTTTTTATGTGGTAAATTTTGAACAGTATGTGTCTCAAGCCCTGGTTCCCACCTCTGCGTTTGGATTTTTTTAGGCAAATTATTGGTTTTGAACATACTAAAATCATTGAGTAAGAAATATGCTATCAGGGGCCGGCCAAGTGGCTCAGCTGGTTAAGAGCTCGCTCAAGAGTGCAAGCTCTGGGCCAGCCGAGTGGCGCATTGGTTAAGAGCTGGCTTGGGACGCCAGAGGGTCCCAGTTCAGATCCCACATATGAGAGCCAGTGACACTGCCCTCTACAGCTAAGATGCTGAACAACAGCTCAGCCTAGAGCTGGGCTGCCATGAGTCACCGGCGACGGTGTAGGCTGCAGCCCCTGCTGCAGTGGGTTGCCATGGGCTACTGTGTGTAGCCAGCAGCCAGCATGAGTGGCCAGCAGCTGCAGTGAGCAGCCGTCCAGAAGCTGGCGACTGATCTGCCTCGCCCGGGAAGAGCACAATGATGGTGCCAACTTGGGCCAGTGAAGCAACGTCCTCCACAATTAGACTCAAGAAGAAAAGGATAGCAACTTGTCTGTTCCCCTTCCCCCAATTCCCCAGCGCTGTTCCCATCCCCCAATTCTCCAATAAAAGTCTTTAAAAAAAAAGAGCGCAAGCTCTGAGCAACAGGGTCGCCGGTTCAACTCCTGGCCTAAGCTGAGCTGCCACTGAGCTGCCAACAGGTGGCAGGATGGCCCAGCTTAAAAAAAAAAATGACGCTATCAACTAAAGTAAATATATATGTTATTAGAGCCCTGGTCTTGACTGATCTTACATTCCATTCATTTAAATATAAATTGCTTCCATTAGAATTTAAGCTACAACAATACTACCACTTATATCCAAAATGGAATGATAGAAAATAGGTCTGTTGAGGCCTCAGAAACTGGCAAGTAAGAGGGTTGCGTAGCTTTTGCTTGTTTTGTAAATTGTAAATTGGCTTTTGTGAAGCATTTCATTTGAAGAAGAGTCCACCGCTACAAAAAGTTTGCAAACCCCTAATTTAAAATAACTCCTGCTTTTTACAGTGATTTTCTTTGAGGTACAACTATAACATAGTTAAGAGCACAAACTCTGAATTCAGACTGGGTTTAAAACTTGGTTTCACCACTTAATTATGTGACCTTGGGTGAATTATTTTATCTCTGTAAGCCTCAATTTCCTCACCTGTAAAACAGGCTGATAATACCTACCTCATAAAACTGCTGTGAACATTTAATTAGATGCATAGTTCAGCAGAGAACAAGTGCTTAGTAGATGTTAACTATAATAATTACATAGCTTCTTTCAGTTAATTTTTTGGGATAAATATTGGCAGCTCTTAAGTATTTATCAACCATTTATCTGCCTGCATGTTTGGAGTATGGATGTGTGAATGAACACAGTGAAGAATTCCCCAAATTCTCAACTTTGTCCATAGGTCCCTAACCATGAGACACTATGCAGACTTCATAATCCTCAAGTGTTAAACCCATTTTCCTGAGCCATTTGTTTCCTGGACCATCCCATTCTAATCTTATCTAATGAGTCACCACAGCTTTGTCCGGTACCTCATCAATTCCTTTGGCTTAGTCATCAAAGATTTGCCTTCCCTCTTCCCCCCTGAGCTACTGGCACTAACTTCATCTCCAGGCTCAGCTTAACCCAATTCCCATGCCAATCTTGATCAAGCCTAGCAATATATTATGGACCTTGCAATTACTAGGCAGCTCTAGGACAAGGAACTAAAAGAACCGAACAGGATGCGGATGGAAGGAGATATCAAGCCATGGGCACTCAGAGGATGCACCATATTAGATGCTGTGCTTACAAAACGAATTGTGTGTCCCTGGGCTTTTACAGCTGCAATATACTTACCTTCCCTCCATCTCTGGCAAAAATCTCCTCTACTTGGATTTGGCAGCTAAGGTCAGGAACTTCGAGTTTAGTTGAAACCCAGAATCTTAGGTCTGGGACCTTGATTTTGGAATGAATTCCTACTGATACAATAATATGACATTTTCAGTTCTATTCCTACATTTATCATATCCCTGAGAGTTTATATATACTTTTCTAATTGCCTGGAGCATTACTTAGTAATCAGTCTGAAATGGTGATTACTTTGAAATACTCTTGAGTGTCACTATACATTAGCCAGAGTGTAGAGAAGCCTGAATTTTGAACCAGAATTTTATCTGTATCTTACATAATATAAGTATAGTAGGGTTAAATGCTTAATGAAGATTTGGATGACACTAGTGCTTGTAATTGAAGGAGACATGAGCTCCTGGTATGTATCTCAGAAAATGAGAGTTTTAAAAGGAGTCATCATTCCTGGTAAGTTTGTATTGGTGTCTACAAAGAATATGGTTTCTGTTTGTTTTCTAGTCTTAAATTAGAATAGACTTTATGCTTCTATGAAAGGTATGTATATACACTTGAACCTTCAATATCTTTTTTAAAGATTTTTATTAAGATATAGCTAACATACAATATCATATTAGTTTCAGGGGTACACCATAGATATCCAACATTTGTATACCTAAAGTAGTGATCACCATGATAAGTCCAGCAACCGTCTGACACTGTACCACGCTGTCACATTATTGACTATATTCCCTATGCTGTACATTACATCCCCATGACTTATTTGTTTTATACCTGGAGATTTGAACCTCTTATTCTCCTTTACCTTTTCCCACCTTGTTTAATTTTTTAATTACACTTGACATTCAATATTATTTTGTATTAATTTCAGGTGTACAGCATAGTGGTTACACATTTATATAATTTAAAAAGTAATGCCCCTGACTAGCCTAGTACCCTCCTTGAACTATACATAGTTTACCAAATTATTGACTATATTCCCTATGCTTTACTTTATGTACCAATGACTGCTTTGTAACAAC